TATCCTTTACATTTTATTATAATATCTGAAATATAAACACTGCAAATAAATACTATGCAGGTAATATATGCAATTGCCTTAAAGATAAATAACTTCTTTTTTAATTATTAGTAATAAATAACTAAAACAAATATTCTAATGATGTATATACATGACTATGATTCACAGTAGTAGCATAAGTCTGGTTCATCTGGACTACACGAAGAGTGGTACCAAAATTTAATACATTTTGTCCAATCATCGAATAGGGGCACATTGTATGCACAAGAGCATATGATGCATACAGTAGTATTAGTAAAAAAACATTCAGAGGCTTTTCGCTTTTTAGGCTTCTTTGGCTTTTTTGTCCTCAAATTTATTGATTTCTTTTTTTGCTTGATTACATTATTAAGTGCAACTTTTTCTTTACGCAACACAGCTTCTTGTTGTTTATCTTTTACATTGTTTTCATGTTCTTCTAATATATTCTTGAAAGGCAAAGAAGTAAGATTATCAGCTGATTCTGCCTTTCTTTTTCGCTGTTTTTATACGGTAATTTTAGGACGCGGAAAAATCTTTTCCAAAATATTAGGGGCAAATTTAAGGTCAAGATGCTCATCAACAACTGGAAAAACTGCATCATTTAATTGCAGTATTATAACCATCTTTCAATGGTTTGAAAAATGTACAATCTAAAGGTTTTATTTTGTGTGTGCAATGAGGTGGAAGAGTTATGAGATAAATCCCATTGTCGCAACAAAAGTTAATGGCTTCAAGTGTATTGTGACTATCATGACCATCGAGTACAATTAATTGCTAATTATTTTTAGATGCACGAGTCACAGTTACAAAATGTGTTAACCATTTGATGAATAAAGATGAATCTGTCCAACCACTTGAGTTACCTCTAACAATTAACCCTAAAGGTGCATCAAAAGCTAGCCTATCAACCATTCGCTTATGGGGGAATTTAAATAATGGCGGGACATAAACACCACTTGCACTCATTGCACACACGACTGTCATAGTAGCACCTCTTTCTCCACTAGTTATTTTTGAATCTTGTTGTTTTCTCTTTGTTGCAATTATTTTTTATGGTTTATAGACATTTGTTATTCCAGTTTCATCCATATTTCAGAACTGTTTGGATGAAAACTTATGTTCCTCAAATAATGACTTATTTACTGTAAAAAAACTGATTTAACTTTAGTTTATTGAAACCAACAGCTCTGCTTACACTGGTGGCTAGTAGGATTCCAATAGAAAGTTGTGGGTTGCAAGACATGAATCCTTGCAGCCATTCTTTTCCTTCCATTTTTGATTTATTATTAAAAAGATTTTCAACTCCCATTTGTTTAGCAAAATCATATGCTAGACGAAGCATATCTTATGTTGTCAAGCCAAATAATGCTCTTTCCATAATCTAAACTTGTGTTACAATGTTTATTTCAAAATCTTAACTAAATACAGGAGATTTTTCACCCAGAGACAAACCAACTACCTTTACTTTTCCATCTCAATGACGTTTTAATGTTTTTTTGTTAATACTCAATTCCGATGCAACATACTGCAGCCCGTCTCCATTGCTTATAATGCTGACTTTATCCTATCATTTGTTGCACCTCACTGTGTTTTTCGCACATAACTTCCCATCATTATTTATAATGTTTAAATATGTATCTAAAGAAAAATGAAAATTTTAAAATTAAGTTATATAAACATATGCAAAGTATTATTTAATTATTTAATATATTATTATTTCAAACATTACCATAAAAACATCCATAAATTAACTCTCTTTAAGTTAACAAAAAAACTTACTCAAGTTATATGCATACAATTTTTATACAAAGATTTCAATAATTATTAATAATAATGGTATTACTATTATTTTTTATTTATTATTGTTATTATTTTTAAATACATTCAATTGCTGATCATTAATTTAATGTAATAAAACTTTATTACCCCAAATGCAATGCAAATTTTAAATATGCATTTGTAATACATTTATATATGCATTAAATATACATTTATAAATAATTTATAAATGTTTTAAGGCGAGTTTCCACTCATCCGTTTTTCAACGGGAACGGGATAGGAAAGGAAAAAATAATCACGTGAGCATGCGTAATAAGAAATTTTATTTGTCCGAAAGAAAACTGCGCATGCTCACATGATTATTTTTCCGTTCCTTTTCCCTTTCCCGTAGAAAAACGGATGAGTGGAAACTCACCTTAACAAGTATGCATTAAATTGCAGTAACTACATGTAATACAACATCACACTACACTATATTTAGCATACATATTATAACATTTTAAAAATATGGAAAATAATTTTTAAAAATTGTTTATAAATATGTATAATAGTTATCAACATATAAACCAACATGTATACAAAGTCAATAAATAAATAAGTAAACATGATTATGTTCTAAAGAAAATTTTAAAATCGCAGAAATTCCGTAAAACCACAAGACTAGAAGCCCTCTGTGGGCATCTTACCCCACATAAATAACGACATCTTGCCTCATATGTTGTGAGTGCATGTTTAATACATGTAAAACTAATTTTGTTGCTCAGTTAAAAACTTTCTTTTCTATATATTATTGTGGCACGAATTCTGTATAAAAAAGACTATTTTCTTACCTTTATCGCATAAGTATTGCTAGTCCAATAAACATTTGGAGTTAGAAGCAATTTACAAACAAAGTACTCAAAAAAGTTAAAAATCTATTTAAACCTTAACTAATAACGATACTTAAAATATTTTTTGTTCCGTGATATTATTTTAACTATATTAATAGAATAATAGAGGAATAAAACATTACTATTCTATGATACCCTTACAAAAGCAAAAAGACTTCTTGCCCCATCCTACCCTATGTATCTCAGAAATTTGGGAAGATGCGAAACTGTCTTTGTCAGAAAATTCTTTGTACAAATTATCATCTTATATATTAATAAGTCAACCACGTGTTGGAAACATGGTAGGTGGCGTTGCAATCTATATTCTTGACAAGTTTGTATTTTAAGTAAAAAAGACTTTTTGTAAAGCAAACAAACATATTGAAACTTTGTGTATTGAAATTCTAAATAAAACTGGTAAGCCTTTTTTAATCTCCTCGCCTTATTGATCGCCATGCGGTAAGCAAATCAACTTTCATAATAGCTTTAGAACAATTATAATCCAAATGACTATTCAAAATAAGCATATTTTTTTCGCTAATGATTTAAACTTGGATGCAATGTGTTATGAAAGTTTGTAAATACAAAAAAAAAATTTAATTTATACTTGAATTTAACACTATATATACTATTTTTAAGTCTACGCGTATTACAAAAACTACTTCGTCAGCAATTGATAATACTTAAACTAATAATATTTTAGAAAATTTTGAAAGGAAAATGATCAGAGAAATCTTTAATAAAAATATTTTTGTTAAAGATTTTTCTGATCATTTTCCTATCTATCATATTGCGCACGGAGTTTCATCTAACGACGGCAATAAAAAAATATTTGTTACTAAAAGAAATCTTTGTTTTAAAAGCCTAGATAAACTTAAAAAAAAACTGTATGAAGAGCGATGGGAAGATGTCTATTCCTCTGCAGACCCCAATAGCGCGTTTGACAATTTTTCAAATATTTTTCAAAATGTTTATGAAAATATCTGCCCAAAATTAACCACTGAAATAAAAAAAATAAGCAACTTAAAAACCATGGATGACAAATAATTTAATAAAATTATCAAAAAGAAAACAAAGCTTTATATAAAATTTCTAAAATCTAAAAAGGAAAATGACGAAAATGCGTACAAATCACATAAAAAGTTTTATCAAAATAACTTAAAAAATGAGTTTGGTTTCAAGAAAACTTGGTCTATTATAAATGAAGTAACTGGAAGAAAGAAAAAGAAACTCTCTTGCATACCAAAAAACGTAACAAAACTATAACAAGTGAAAAAAATATATGTCAAGAATTTAACAAATATTTTGATAATGTAGGCGCCTCTCTTGCATCTAACATTGTTCGGTTAACTAAGTGTTTGATAAATACTTGAGAGAGAAACCCGCGACTAGCATATCCAATAAAAAATAAACACAAATTTAACAAAGCACTATTTGAAATAAAGCGTAACAAGTCATGTGGATATGACGACATTACCAGTAATGTAGCTCTCTATGTTATGGATAGTATAAGTTAACCATTATTTTATTTAATAGCATTTTCGAGTGAGTACAGGACCACAAAAAGACGTCTTTTAGACGTTCAAAAGACGTCTAAAACGTTGAGAAGACGTTTTAAATACGTATTTTTTACGTCCGTGCCCACTGTGTTTCATTTGAAAATAGTATATTTACAGATAAGTTAAAATCAGCTAAAAATCACCCAGTTTTTAAAAATTGTAATTGTTCTTATGTTTGCATCTACCGCCCTATATCACCCCAGACAGCAAGCTTACATTGGACCAACGTTGGGCCAATGCATCATGATGCATTGGCCCAACGTTGAAAGTCGATGTTGGCCCAATGCAGGTTTGATCATTGGTTAGGTATTGGCCCAATGTTGTGTACAACATTGGCCCAATGTTGTATACAACGTTTACCCAACATTGGCCCAACGTTGTATATAACGTTAGGCCAATGTTGTAAACAACATTGGCCCAACGTTGTATACAACATTGACCCAACGTTGTATACCAAATTGGCCTAACGTTGTATACAACATTGGCCCAATATCGCATGTTATATATCGGCCTAACGTTTTATGCAACATTAGATCGTTCTTACAAATAAGATGATTTGCATCGCCACATTGAAAATTTATAGAGAAAAAAAAGAATGTATGATACAAGTATAAAAGTTCATTTATTTAACATAATTTATCTGTTAAATATACATATTGCTAACACTAAACTTAAACCAAAAACTGACACATTGAGTTTTAAATAAAAAAATTCACAATAAGATTTATAGAGTAGTTTTGATATTGGCTGAGCTACTTGTTATTGAATCGTGTTTAGCTTATAATATTTGGTGCCCACGATTATTATTTTTTCTTCCTCTATCTCTATCACGTGTCTGCATAAGCCATGCTTATTTGACTTCACAGTTTCTGCAAAAAAAAAAAAAATAGTTGTTTGTTTAATTATGCACCAAAGAAATATAACAAATTGAAAGTAATTCTGTAATGCAAAATTGAAACTGAAAAAATAAACTTTTCTAAACCACTTACCAATAGCAGCATATGCAATCAACATTTTTTCTATTCCAATTTTTTGTCCTCTCCCTGCATTGTTTAATTTTACAACTAGGTCATTTTAAAAAACTATTCTTATCAAATAAAATATACAATCTCCTTTGTCTTTAACTCGGATTTGTGCCAAATAACTGACCTGCAAAAATACACAACCTGGCAATAATTAAAGTAACTTTTATTTAGACTTAAATTAATATAAAATGCAATTTACAAAAAATCTTCAAAGAGTATTTTATTTAAAGTATATAAATTGTACTAAGATATCATACAAAATGCATAAAAAAATTATAAAAAAATATTTACCATTTATTTACTTATTTTCTTTTCTTCCAGAGTACTTAAATTCTTCACTGCTTTTAATAGCAATGACACTCTTCCAGGCAATACAATAATTAGTATACCTTTGTTACTCAAATTTTTATAACTGAATTTGATGTGTTTTGTAGTTTACCAAGTTGTACTTCAATGACGACTAAGAATGAACACTAAGAAAAACATAAGTTTCAGAAAAAATAAATGGGTAGCACCAAAAAAAACATAATAGCTTAATTGAGCGTTGTATTTTGAAAATGTGACAAGTCACAAAATTAAAATTTTACAAGGGAGTGAAAAATATTTCTCCTATAAAAAATTTTATTTTTATTTTATCTAAAAATTGTTTCTTTTCTCTAAAAAAAATCTTTATTTTATCTAAAATAATCTTTATTTTATCTAAAAAAATCTTTATTTTATCTAAAAAAATCTTTATTTATCTAAAAAAATCTTTATTTTATCTTAATATTTTTTTATTTTAAGTGAGGTTATTTGAAAAGAATGTTTTTTTGAAAATATTTTTTTCAAACAACCTCACTTTTAAAAAAAGTGTGACTCATCACGTTTTCAAAATACTTATATGCGCTTATTTGTGAAACAAGTAACTTTTTTGTGTTTGCTTATTTGTGAAACTGTTTGCTTATTTGTGAAACGATTAACTAGAATTACTGATTTTTCCATGACTATCTAAAGGAAAAAATAATTTCCTGACTTTTCCAGGTTTTCCACGACTTTAGCCAATATTAACAAATTTTCCAGATTTTCAAGGTACAGTACGGACCTTGTCCAATGTTTGTAAATAATTTTTTAACATATTTTAGTTCTGAATTTTAATAACACTATTTTTAAAAATAATATCATCTATAAAAATATTGTATTACCTTTGTCTATTAGATAAATTTAAATAAACGTTTATATAATGAATAATAATGAATCACCAGCAACTGTTAAAACTTTAAACTGATATGAATATTGATATAAATACAAATACTGCTGTTTTTTTCAACATTTGATTTCAAATGGTTTTAAAGTTGGTGACACCAACTTTGAAATCCAACAAAAATTTTTTGTTATGTTCATAAACTTAAATGTTCTCAAAACAACTAAAAAACCTGGCCAGTTTTTTCGCAACTAAATATATTTTCTTTGGTCAGTATTCGAGAGCGATCGCTTCGGCTTCTTGACCAAGCCTGTGGTGTAAGCTTTGATATTTTGATTATTACATACTAAAATGTTAATTAACACTCTGACTTTTTGACCGTAATATATGAAAAAGTCTTTAAAATTGTAAAAGTAAAAGCTATGAATAAAGATTTTCAATCATTAGACACTTACCATTTAATAATTTTGTTCATTCAACTTCTCAGAGCAAACATTAAACTTATGTAAAGATTTTGGAGTTACAGGTAAATCCAAAAGTTTAATAATATTTTTTGTTTTATTATAAGAAAATGAGGATAAATCATCTACACCAAGATATATACAATTTTTTGTCTCTTTAATCTTTATTTTGACTGGTCATTTTCGCTGTCTTCCTTTTTTGTCTCCAGATCAGAAATTTAGCCTTATGCTAAATTCAATCTTGTATTGCTTTAAAAATCTATAAATCAAAACATTAATAATCAAGTTATAACTAAAGTTAATGTATAAGCTTAAAGTTGTTAACTGTTGTACGCAAACTAAATATGGAAAATATCCAGAGATATTAAACTAAAAAATAATTAAACCAAGAATAATGTCCCTCTTCCTCGGAAAGATGGAATATTAGAAAGCTCTACATAAGTAGAATATAAGTTCTAGTAACATCACTTTTTGTACACTGTTTTAATATGTTAGTAGATGGGGTTTCATAATCAAACACAAAAAAAATCAAACAAAAGAGACATATTTAGGATGTAAAATATCAGCTTCTAACAACTTCAATGCCACATATATATCATTGATAACTTTAATAATATATCTTATAATAGCTATATAATCTATACTATTATAAATAATGAAAAAAAAAATTATACTGTATGACATTTCAAATGTTTGATTTATTTAATAAAGAAGACATTTTAAAAGTCTCCTTTATTAAATAAATCGAACATTTGAAATGTTCCATTTATTTATAAATAACAATAATAAATTTTATAAAATAATAATAAAATTTAATAAATTAAATTTATTAAAGATTATTAAATAAAACAAACATTTGAAATGCCAATACAGCAATAAAAATAAAAAAATGTTTTTTGATAACAGGGAACAAATACTAGGAGTAATTATTGATCTCTAAGGCATTTGATACTGTTGATGATGGAGTTTTGCTTTCAAAATTTAAGCATTGCGGCATTAAAGGCCTAACATAAAAGTGGGTTAAAAGTTGTTTTTTAATAGAAAACAGTTTATTGTCCTGGAGGAGTCAGGAGCTCATGATATTGTTTGCGGAGTCCCAGAGGGATCAATCTTGGGACCTTTATTATTTTTAATATATATTAATGATATCAACAAAACCTCTCATAAAATATCGTCAGTTTTGTATGCAGACAATACAAATCTGTATTGATAACAATTCTGATGTAAAAATATTGTTCGAAACAATCAATACTAAACTATAAAGCTTTAACCAATAGTTTATAGCTAATAAGTTGTCATTAAATTGTGAAAAAACAAGTTATACTCTCTTCCATAAAATAAGACAATCAACTAATCTTCCTATAAAGTTGCCAAAATTGTTAATCAAAAAAAATGAAATAAATCGAGTAAATCATTCAAAGATTTTGGGAGGAATATTTGAGAACCATAGAAAAAACATATTAGTTTTTATTCTTCACGTAGTATTCACTGAAGCAAAAATATCTTCTGCTATAACTGTACTATATAAATCTAGGGCTGAAGCAAATATATCTTCTGCTATAAGTGTATTATATAAATCTAGGGCCTTTCTTGATTATAAACCACACAAACTGTTTTACTTCAGTGTTGTTCATTGTCATCTCTTCTACGCTAATATTGTTTGAGCTAACTTACACAAAACTAAGTTATTAAGATTACAGAGCCTACAAAACCACGCACGTAAAGCAGGTAACTATTTAAAGAGATTAGTAAACCCTTCCCCTGTAATGAAATACATGAATGTGTTAAATGTATGAAAACTTATCCTATCAAATATTAATATTTATGTATAAATATAAGAATAACTTGCTGTCAAAAGTGTTTTCTGATATTTTTACATCAGTATTTTCACAAAAATACAATCTTCGGTCAAATAACAACCATAACTATCACTTGAGCAGAGTAAAATTGCTAGTGTCGAAATTCTCAATTACTAGCCAAGGCCCGTCATTATGGAATCATTTTAAAAATAACAATATAAAAAATTTAAAAAGCACTTTCTTTTTTAAACGACAAATGAAACTGCGTCTCCTTAATTTCTGACATATATGTAAGTATGTTTGTATATGTGTGTGTTTTTATGGGTATATGTATATATGAGTATGTATGTATATATGATTTTTTTTTTTATTCTTCACGTAATATAAAAGAGATAAAATATTATATTGTAAATTTTCTAAAGCCATGTGAGCTTTAAATGATATTGTAAAAGGTTTTATGAAAAGATTGTGGTGACACCAGTCAACCTTATCTTCTTTGACCCCTTGTCTGTTTTATATATATTCTTTGTGTAACGTTAAAGTTTCATTGTAATTTTATTATTTTATTTATATATAAACAGCGAAATATATTAATAAAAAAAATTATAAATAAAAAAGAGAAAAAAAACACGCAAACATTTTTAAAACTTTATATTTAAATTTGCTATTAAAACTTGTTGTTTTAAAAGTATAGTTTCGTAAAAAATTTGCAGCTGGTTTGACTTTTTCAGCTGTTTCAAAATTTAGTCAACAAAGTTATAGAAATTTATCCATTGCAACAAAAATGTCTTTATAAAAAATTTTGCACATTTAAGTTTTTTATATCCTGATTATTTGTAAAAAATATTACTTAAACTTAAATTTTTCCTTGTTGCGGTTGTTGTTTGTTTCAAATGTTGTCAAAGTTTTTATTTGTGGCCATTGCTTCACTGGCAATTTTTAATTTACTTTATTTATTTCCACAGAAAGTTGAATGTCAATCGTCAAACTTTTCCACTCTTATTTTTCTTAAAAACCTAAATTCAAAGTTTCACTGTTTTTCAAAAGTTAAAGAATTTTTTTCTCAAAGCGTTGCCGGAAATTTAACAACGGATTTACTCAAAAAAAATCAAAATACTGGTTTATTCAAAACTTACAACTATTCTACATCTCAAGAGTTTTTATTAGAGTTTATCATTGGTCAAACGTTCTATCGAAATAACTTTTATCAAGGTGGGCAGCTTCTCATAGCAGCGGCTGTTGACGAAGAATCGACAACTTTAATTTCAGATATTATTATCCCGTACAATAACTTTTTATTCTTCGATTTTAACAATTATAATTATAAAATCAGTTATCGAAACAATGCCGCCCCTCTATATGCTCCTCTAGATCTCATTTTTAAAAGCATTATTGAAAGCGTACGTTTTAAAAGGCTTATAGTATTGGTAATGACAGAAGATAATAAAGAAACTGTTTTTGATTCGTTTGAATATGCCAAAAAATACACCAATTTAAACGTTATAGAATACACGGTTAATTACAAAAATGTAGAGCTCATGTCAAAAATTGTTGAAGAGTTGGCATTTTATTCGAATAACTCCTTTATTATATTTAATGGAGATTTTTATAGCAGTTTAAACACATTTTTAAGCGCTTGCCAATTTCACGGCTTGCAACTGGAAACTATACTTATAAATAGCGATTATATTTTGATTGAGGATATGAAAGAGATGATCAAGTTTAAAGATACAGTAAAAAGTTTTCTTGTTGACACACGTGTCACGGGAAATTTACGAAAAGTTATATGTTCGGGTTTTACAGACAATCGTTGGAACTCTTACATGGATAGTGATACATTCAATTTTTATAAAATAGACTTCACTAGAACGGATATGTCTTCTTTTATTTTCGTTTACTGGACTGATAAAAACGAAACTCATTTTCAATCCCTCAACTATACTGCTTTGACAGGTTTGTTTTCATCTTCAAAATACACAGTTACATGTATGCCAGGATTTGAACAAATATTGCGATTATTTCAAACTAATGGAAAAAAAGAGAAGTGGAGTTATTGCGTTCCTTGTAATGATCAATCTTTTAAAGAAAGTTATGGAAATTTAAAATGTCAAGAATGTCCATTAAATTTTATATCGAACTCAAATAAAACAGGTTGCAAAGATCCATTTACATCGGAACATATAGTATTCGATAACATTGAGGGAATATTTATCACTTTTTTTTCTGGATTATCTTCTTTTTTTAGCGTCTTTATTACACTAACATTAATTCATCAAAGAAAAACACCTGTAGTACGAACAACTTATTTTACCTTTTCTCTGATGGAAGGTATTTGCCACTTAGTTATTTCAATTTTAGTTCCAATATTATATCTCACAAAGATTACACTTATAATATGTACTGTAAGACATATAATTCTTGGCTTCTTCTTGACATTGTGTTCTGCGGTTATTTACATAAAAACGAAAAAATACGTTCGTGTTTTCAAAATAGCTTATCGCTTGACTCAAAAAGAAAAACTAATTGCGACTTCATTTGACATTATGGCAATGTCTTTTATTTTAGTCGTTCAAATTTTGTTGGGTTCCATTATATTGATTCGGTCACCTCCAAACATTATATACCATTTGAACTACGAAAAAAAGATTAGAGTTTTGCAATGCTCGTCAGACACCCAGTTTTCATTTCAGGTTCTTTACATAGGTTGCATGTTATTAATTTGCTCCTTTCAAAGCTTTCATACTCGAAATCTTCCGTCCTATTTTAATGAAACTTTTTCTATTACGTATAGCACAGGAATATCATGCATCCTATTAATTTGTTATTTCCCGATTTACTACGGAAGCCAAAACATTAAAAAAAGAACTAATGCAGTTGCCATTCTGATATTAGCAATAAACTTTACTTTAATGACCATCATGTTTTCTCCAAAATTATATTTGATTTATTTACGATCAGATAAAAATAGTAAACGTTGTATTCAAACTAAAATAACAGATTATTCGAAATCACTTTCAACCATGTAAAGCAAACGCTATCATTTATAGCAATAAGTTTACAGGTTATATAAAATAAACAATTATTTAAAAACTTTATTGCGTAAATAATTAACAAAGACATGCAGAACTTGACTGTTATTAATTAGGGAAATTAAGGGTTGGAGTGATGCAATGCTGCTGTCAGCTGTTGCTGTTTTGTGATATGAACCAGATTGAGGAATTAACTTATTTATATCAATGTAAAAACTTAATTATAATCTTTTATTTCCAAAAAAAGACATGCATATAGCACTGATTAGATCACTTTTTACACATTTAACATAAAAATCTTATGGTTTAGGTATAGGATGTGCGATAGAGCCTTTTAAATAAAGCCAGTAATAATCAGCTAAATAAGAATATGAAAATAACTTATGGTAATGTTTAAAATTTAAATTTAGATCAAGGTTAAAAATTTAAATACTGTCAAGAGTGATATAAGTTACAATTATTTCAGAATCAGCGTATTAATATCTATTTTTTGCGTTTTAATTTAATTTTCGTATTTTTTTTTTTTTTTTCAAGATGTTTCGAGATTTTGTTTGGATTACAAATGTTTAGACTTTTTTCCTTGTGTCATATCAAGGAAATATTAAAATGTCACATCAATGAATTATTAAAAATTATTTTATCTCTTCAATCTTTAATCACTCTTGTATAACTCCTGTATAACTCCTTGTATAACTCCTGTATAATTCTTGTATAACTCCTGTATAACTCTTGTATAACTCCTGTATAACTCCTGTATAACTCTTGTATAACTCCTGTATAACTCTTGTATAACTCCTGTATAACTCCTGTATAACTCTTGTATAACTCCTGTATAACTCCTGTATAACTCCTGTATAACTCTTGTATAACTCCTGTATAACTCCTGTATAACTCTTGTATAACTCCTGTATAACTCCTGTATAACTCTTGTATAACTCCTGTATAACTCCTTGTATAACTCCTGTATAACTCCTGTATAACTCTTGTATAACTCCTGTATAACTCTTGTATAACTCCTGTATAACTCCTGTATAACTCTTGTATAACTCCTGTATAACTCCTGTATAACTCTTGTATAACTCCTGTATAACTCCTGTATAACTCCTGTATAACTCCTGTATAACTCTTGTATAACTTTTGTATAACTCCTGTATAACTAAATAACAAAAAGTTTTTAAATCATATGGTTATTTTAGTACTCCTTAAGTTAAAAAAATTCAAATACCAAAAAATATCAAAGTTGTGAGAAAAAAAAATTATTTGATTTCCGTCAAAAATTTAATGTTTTAATCTTTAAGAAAATAGTAAGTTCAAAGTGTAGGGAGTGCATAGTTTAACTCCCTACACTTTGGAGTAATGGTTGCCAACAATCTTTAATACAATGACCTACAACGCTTGGAAAAAACTTTTTACTTTACAATATTCATATTAGTATTTCATGTAACGGGTGATAACTAAAAAATGAGAATAATTCTAACCCTCTGAAATCAAACCGTAAAGTCAAAAAAAAAGAAAAGAACTCCTACGTAAAACTATACTCTCTCTGTTTACAAACTTATCATATGTTTTGTTTTGAATCAGCTAATTCAGTTGTGTTTAAAATGACGTCAAAACAAGATGTACTACGCGAGCGCATTGTACAGTTCTATCAAATGCAATAAAGTCTCAAAAAAAAGTTTACTGGGAATCATTTTAAAACCGAAAATGTTGCAGTTTCAACTATTAACCGTATTTTGTCATCCTTTACAACTAATCGTAAAAGTCGTAGAAAAGACCAGCTAAAATAATGAACATGAAGGGACTTCGTTTGCTTCACGGTGTTTTCAACAACAATGATTCAATAACTCAACGAGACGCTGCAGAAAAGTTCAAGTGTATGCAGCCTTATATCTACAAATGGTTGAAAAAACAAGGAATAGTCTGCCGAAAACAAAAAAATACGGAATACACGCAACAAATGTCAATTGAGAATTCTCAATGTCGGATGACCCGAAAATACTCTGGAAAATCTTTTGTTTTGGATGACGAAAGTTACTTTCTCCTCTCCAATACACAAGTTTGAGGGAATGATCGATATTTTGCAGATAAGCGTTTTACATTACCTCCAAAAGTAAAATACAAATATAAACACAAGTTTGAGCAGAAAGTGATGCTGTACATTGCCATATCTGAGAGGGGAATTTCCTAGCAAAATTTTAAGCCAAGTGGTTTGGCTAATAATCAAGAAGTATACCAATATCAATGCTTGAATATAATTCTATTTGTTCAAAAATACGATTCAGATGCAATTACTTGATTTGGCCGGGTAAATCGTCATCGCATTATGCCAAAAAAAGCAGTTTCTTGAAAAGCCAAAACATTTCATATGTACCAAAAAACCGCAATTCCACAAACTTGCCTAAATTATATAAAATGCATTTATACTTTTCAAAAGCTAGTATTTTACGAGTAATAAAACATTTACTGGAAGAAGTTAGCAAACAAAAAAGGGCGGTTAAATGCCGGTTTATTTTGTAAAATTATTTCAATAAATGATGTAAAGAATTCACTTTACAATATAATGAAAACAATTATATTTTTGTATTAACTACTGCCGCACATAAACACTCAATATTTGAACTTGATTATACATGATAAAAACAAAATTAAAATACAAATTAAAATGAATGGAATTATAAGTTTCGTCAACAAAATGTTATTTATGAAGGTTCAAGAAGAAATGAAGTTGTTTATGTTGAAAAAGACCGAAGATAAAAGAACAGCATTCAAAGAAATGAATGAGGTTTGTCGAGTGGGAATGCAAGAGCCATTTGCTACTGAAGGCAATCCGCAATTAAAAAGACCAACAGACTCAAGTGCTGTCAACTTCAACAAACAAGTTCATAGACCCATTGACATTTTTATACAACAAACAAATATTGGTAGCAAGAGTGCTGTGTGTTCCACGGTTTATAAAACGCACCAAGTTACCATGAATGCGAGTTGGAAAAAAAAAAGGAAGAATACGGATTTGCAGGTCTATTGGACGTTTCTTCTATGAAAATTCAACACCGTTCAATGTAGCAACAAGTCCTTCATACTGGGCAATGATAAAAGATGTATGTGGATTTGGAAGGGGATTTAAACCCCCAACTATGCATGAGTTGCGTTCATGGATTTTAAAAGAAGAATAAAAATGCTATTTCTTCATTGTTGATGAAGGGAAACCTTCATGGATTTAGACCAATTGTAGTATTATGTCTGACGGTTAGACTGACACAAATAGGCGTACATTAATAAACTTTTTAGTAAATAACCTATAATGTACTTACTTTTTAAAGTCCATTGATGCATCGGATCAAGTAAAAGATGCAAAGTTGCTTTTTAAATTACTTGAATAAGTCGTTGAGAAAGTTGGAGAAAAGAATATTAACCAAGTGATAACAGACAATGACTCGGCTTATAAAGCAGCGGGGCGATGGAGAAAAGAAAAAATTTGTATTGGACGCCTTGCGCTGCACACTGCATTGCCTAATGTTGGAAGACATTCTCAAGTTACCCCTCCATACTTCTGTGTTCACCAAGGCCAAGAAAACAATAAATTTAATAAACGGTCATGCATGGGTTTTAGCAATGGTAAAAAAATTTACCGGTGGAGATTTGGTGAAACCTGCTGTTACTCAATTGGCCACTACATTTCTTACTTTGCAAAACTTTTTTGGAGCAAGGGAAGAACTTGAATCCTTTTTTACTTCAAGAAAGTGGAAAACCAGTACTTATGCATCTCAATCATTGGGGGAAAAAGTGCGCAACGTAATTCTAAAAAGCAAGTCGTTTTGGCCTGGTGTTACTTATGTACTAAAACACAACAAAGTCCTTAGTTATAATTTTTTTTTTTGGTGGATTCCGAGAAGTATCCACCAATGGGTGGATACTTCTTGGAATAATGCTCAAAATCTAAATAATGATGTTGCAAAGTATTCGAATATTTAAGATATTGTGGATAGTCGGTGGGATCTTCAGCTTCACGCGCGTTTGCACGATGCTGCATATTTTCTAAATCCTAATTTTCAATATGAACCTTCATTCTCTTCTCATCACGAGATTAAATCGGAACTATTTTCTTGCATGGAGTGATTGATTGGTGATTCAGAAGAAAAGGAGAAAGTGGATATGCAGATCGATTTTTCTCAAAATGTAAAAGGTTTATTTGGACAGGTAAATGAGGTAAGCACAAGGAAGAAGAGAAGTCTAGGTGAGTGTTTTTACTATTTTTAGTATGTTTAAAATAATATCTTTTATTTGATTTTTTTGATAAACCAGAGGACGGACCCGATATGGGATCACATCTCAACATTTTTTTTTCCATCAAATTAATAAAATAACATTACTATTTTCAGCGGATTGGTAGAGAGCTTTTGGAGATCAAACGCCTGAACTTGAAAAACTTGCCATTAGAATCTTGAGCTTGACTTGTAGTGCTTCTGGATGTGAACGGAATTAGAGCTCCTTCAATCAAGTACTAAAGTATTTTGGTTTTATATGTTTTTTGATTTTCATCTTACTGAGCTTTAATATTTTTATGAACAGGTGCATACAAAGAGAAGAAATTGCTTGAAACAAGCAAAACTCAATGACTTGGTTTACATTTTGTTCAATTAGAAACTAAAATACAGGGAGTTAAATAAGAAAACAGTTGAAGATCCCTTTTGTTTGGATGATGTAGACTCTGGCGATGAATGAAAATCAGAGCTCCAAGATCCTGAGGTAGAGGCCTATAAAGATCTTGATGCAAGTATAGCTCTTGATGACCATTTTGAAGTCAAAGAAGGTGAAATATCTTAACATACAAAGCAGAGAAAGAAGAAAAACAAAGGTATAAGTTATTACTTGATATTATATTTGAATAAATTGTTTTACTTTTTTGGTTCTACCCGAACTCAAACATATATATTTCTTTTCATATCAAAACTTTCACATCAAAATCCAAATAATGACAATGAGGAGGATTTTCCACATGCCAGGAAGGAAAGCGAAGAATAAGAGGTTGAATTGAATTTCATGGATGATTCTCTAGAGGATTCTCATAGTAGCACTAGTTCTAGTGACAAAAGCGATAATTTATAGGATAACACTTAGGAGATTAGGCCATATTTATTCCGAATTTGTAAAAGTTTGAAATCTAATCATTTTTTTAGGAACTTTTAATAAAGGAATGATTTTACTTCAATGTTATATTCATTGTTTTTAATCTTTTCCTTAAAAAAAAAATTGCGTTTTTCTTAGTGTTGTAATTGACTAAAAACTGACTTTAGAAATTTATTTTCGACTTTAGACTAGTCGAAAGCCAAAAATAATTGACTTTAGAAAATCTAATAGTTGATTTAATTTACTTTGGATTTTCTACTAATCGACTAAAAGTCAATTTATTCGGGTAATAAATTTGTTTAATAACAGTGCCGGATCAAGGAGGGGGCTAGAGGGGCTATAGCCCCGGACCCCGCAAATGGAGGGGCCCCCAAAAATTTTAAAGGACCTTTTTTTTTTCAGTCATTTTTAGACTCTGGCCCATAAAAAGACCTCTAAAAAAAAAATAGCGCCGACTTTAGAAGTCTTAGTCAGTCACTCTTTAATTTTATTTAACTAAATCTTTAATATTAGAGGCTAATTTAATAACAATAATATAAATGGTCCAATTATTATGTACTCCCTAGTTTATTTATTTCCAGATTAAAATATTGCTCCCCATTCACCTTAAGCTAGGAATGAGTTTATGTTTACTCTCTTGAAGGTATTTTAGGGGTTCGACTATTTCAATAATTTTAAAAAAAAGTTGTTTATTACCGGTTTTTGTGGTATCTTGAGAGTAACTTACGGTAACTTTATATAACTTTAAGCTAATTGTGATTTACAGAAAGTTATTTCATTCATGCCTTTTGATGAATATGTCTCGTAACTAGGACTAGTTTCCCGATAAGTTAACGGTTAGTAATGTTAACGGTTTTTATCTTTCCAATTCTGCCATAACATCTAAAAAAATAAATTCTCAAATAATTAGGCCTAAAAAGAGGAGGCGGAGTAGGGGGATCAATTACTGGGGCCCAAATAGTACAAAGAGTACAAATAGTATACAAATAGTGTTGTTTTTATCTTACATACTTTTTCTATCCTTTTTTATTAAAATTACTACTTTATATATATATATATACGTATTTATATTTAAAAATTTACCTTTAGGTGGAAGAGATTTATTTCGGACCTTTTAGGAGATATTTTCAAAACTTAAAAACTTAGCTTGATAAAAAAGGTAAGACTCAAAATGAGGTTTTGATTTCGCAAAAAAACGGAGACCAGATATCATACTGATTTAAGGAGAAATGTAAGGAAGTGCTGCTACATCGACTGATTTATATTTGTCCCCAACCAAAACCCTCAGTCAATTTAGCAACATTTACTTGCATGTTTTACCTGAATCAGTCAATTTAGCAGCATTCTCCTACATTTCTCCCTAAATCAGTATGATATCTGGTCTCCGTTTTTTGAAAAATCAAAACCTCATTTTGAGTCATTGCATCTTTCGCTTACAAATAAAAAAAAATTAAAATAAAATTTTTTTAAAAAAATGAACTCCTACTGCAAGGAACATTTTATGATATGGAATATTTTTGAGAAAGACCAGTGACCGTAATAAAAGTAACTATAATGTCGATAAACTAGTTAGTGATATGACTCTAGCTTTATCTGTTCAATGGAAAAAAGCTAATTGCAAGTTTTTGCATCCAGTAGTAATAAAAGAGTGTAGTATTAAAGCTAAACTGAAGTATCTGCAGGAAACTGCAGTTAAAGTTAGCCCTGGAAATGCAAAAAAAATCAATGAAGGATTTATTCCAAAGTTTCATTCCAAAAATCAACAACCTTGGTGATATTTTATCCTGTAAATGTTTAATAATATTTTGTTCAGAGTATAGTTGTGATCAAGACTGTAAAAAGCAGGCACATATTAAATGTATGTGTTTGTGAAAATAAAATTCCTGTTATAGAACTCAGCTTAATCAAGTCACAGAGAGACAAAGTTTAGCCCAGTTTAATTCCAAAAGATATTAATTGCTTGACACAGATTAATCAATTAATAATAAAATATGATTGTTTGTAAATAATTCTAATATAACTACTTTTGGATAAATTAAATGTTTATATAGTGATTTATAAAAATATCTCAATATCTTTTTTTTTACTTTTTAGATTTTTTATAAACCATTAACTTAATTATAATAACAAACAATTTAATTCGTGTATTTATTTTTTTTAGATTTAAACAACAAACAAAGTTGACTCAGAACCAAATATTTCTAGAGAACCAGAACTTTCCAATAATATTGTAAAAGTTTATAACAGAATGGACATAACAAACATTGCATTTGCATGAGCATGAGTATGAGGCATCACACTAGCTTACAAGAAACCGCATAAATAGCGACAGCAGCACTTATAGATGCAAAAAATATAACAAAGAATGATACATTGATGATTATTAATCACAGCAAGATTAAAAGGGCGCATTAGAAGTTAGCAATCGAATTAAATAATAAATTTAATTAAGATCTTGAAAATAATGTGGTTTTATGTATTTTTTTTTGATGGCCGGAAAGATTATACAAAAGTATTAACAGAATTTGATGGTAGGTATATTCCTGGTCTTCTTAAAGAAGAACATTATTCTGTAGTTACTGAACCAAGTGGTAAATATCTATTTCATTTTGTTCCTGATAAGACTGATCACAAAAAAAATGCTGAGATAATTGCAGATCACTTGGTTAACTGGTAGGTGGAAAGAAATTTAAATACACAACTAAAAGCTAAAAGAAGAGACAGTAAAAATGTAAATACTGGTTGAGAAGGTGGTGTGATGCAATGGGTGGAATGAAAATTGAGAAAGAGATTAGTATGGATTGTGAGCGATCTTCACACAAACAAGTTAGAATTAAGACATTTAATTATAAGTTTAGATGGCCAAACAAAATGTGAAAATATGTGGTCAGGACTACTGGGAAAGATATTAAATACTGCAACAAGTCTTGAAACTAATCCCAAATTTACAAAAATTGATGTTGGGCCTGCATTAATTGTTCTTAGTCCTGAAGTAATCAAAGGTTTAAGTTCCGATCAGAGCTATGCTTACAGAATAACAAAAGCAATAAGGTCTGGTAATTTACCTCAGAAGTTAAAAATGCAAGAAACAGGACATGTATGCCATAACAGGTGGCTCACAACAGCATTAAGATTTTG